GGCATCGTGGTTATATACACTCTGGTGGGTTGTAAACGGTGGGTCGTGATTGGTTGTTAATCGGGGGTTATGATTGGTTGCTTTTGGACCAATCATGAGGTGCCGGATATGCAAATTTGAGGGATTCTAGTGGCCAATCAGAGCAAGGTTTCGAAGGTCAGGTTTTTGGAAGGGAACCAATCATGGTAATTGTTTGCCCTCTGAGAAACCTCGGCAGACTTGCTGGTGTGCAGCTTCCCACAGTTGAATAGTCTTCTAAAATGGTACCCATAGTTTATTTTGTCACTCCTTACATAATGGGTATTAAGTTATTTTGGTTATTTGGTATCTGTCTCTTAAATTTTATCTTTAAGTTGTCTTTTTCCTTCCCTATGTAGAAATTTCAAACTTTTTATGTGGTCAAACTTACTAAAGATTTTTTTCTTTATTGCTTTTTTTGATGTTTACATCTTTGAACCATTAGAAATTAATTTTGATTTAATTAATGTGGGAATGATCCAGCTTTATTTTCTTCCCAAATGGCCAAATGGTTTTTCCAACATCATTCATTAGATTATTCATCATCCAGAGACTACTTAGAAATATGAAATTCAAGAAAGAACCTAGACCTTTTGAATCCTAGAAGCTTTGTACAGACAAAAACTCAGGAAAGTGAGTTTTCTGAAAGAGGGTGAAGTCTTCTTATCATTCAGGACTGAAACAGAGCCAGATGAGGGAGCTCCCATGCAGCTTGGTGTATGAGCCTGTATCTTTTTCTTTTTTTCTTGAGAGATTTTTGCCATAGGCCACATGCACTTGCCAGAGAGACAGAGAGAGAGAGCAAGAAGTCACCCCCAAGGGGATGGCCACACCACAATCCCTTCTCCTCCATTCTTCTCTCAGGATCTTGGGCACGCACACACATGCACCTGGCATGAGTTTTAAGCGGCTGGGTCCAGGACTCAAACCATGTTCAATTATGTGGGAGTCCAGCAATATAGCCATTACACCATCTGCTGGTCCCAGAGCATGTATCTTCTCATTTGGGTTCTTTATTCATGTCCTCTATCCCACTATCCTTTATTCCTACTTTTGTTTGTGAAATCGCTTGCCATCTCATCCATAGCTGAGTATTTCCTTATTCTTCAAATATTGGTTTTTCCCTGCTCTATTTCAATTATATATCAGAACACCCAGGATTCCTTTTCTTTTTCTTTTCTTTCTTTTTTCTTATCTTTTTTTTTTTTTTTTTTTGAGAGGTTTTTGCTATAGGGCGTGTGCGCTCACCAGAAAGACAGAGAGAGAGACAGAGAGACAGAAAGCGAGAAATCACCCCCTCCCAGGGGGGATGGCCATGCCGCAATCCCATGAGTTTAAGCCATTGGATCTGAGACTTGAACCGTGGTCGGCTACATGGGAGTCCAGTGACATAGCTATTACACTAACTGCTGGTCCCAGGACAAGGGATTTCTAAGAAACATAAGACTTGTCTTAGTGAAGTTTTTTACTTTCCCACAGTGCCTACCACAGTGTTCCATACTAGAGGACTTTAGTAAATATTTACTGATGAATGAGTAAATGAGTGAGTACTGAACATAAAGTAAAGCTGCAATTTTTCTTATTATTAATGGGTGGCCATGGGCAATTCACTTAAATCATGAGCAATAATAGTGCACAACTTCGCATCAAATAGTTCTCATAATTTCTTCAAATTTCCGGAGAAATTTTTATTTGTGTCTGCAACTTCATATGTTTGGTATCTATTCAAAGACAAATTATTTTCAGAAATTGTAGCAAATTTGTTCTTCTACTCTAAAATTAGCCAGTGAAACCAAAATAAAAATTTTATACCTTCAAAAACAAGTGGGTTTTTAAATGCCTGGGTTTGAGATCACAAGACCTAAAGGAGAAAAGAAACCAATAATGAGAGGGAGAGGTGCTGGATAACAAGTTCAAAATTTCATGGGTCCTTAAAACCTCTAATGATGGGCCAGCAGGTGGCGTGGTGGTTAAAGGTCCTGGATTCCACATGGCTGAACACGGTTCACGTCCCAGACCTAGCGACTTGCTCTCTCTCTCTCTCTCTCTCTCTCGAACACGGTTCACGTCCCAGACCTAGCGGCTTGCTCTCTCTCTCTCTCTCTCTCTCTATCTCTTTCTGGTCAAATTAAAAAATAATAATAATAACAAATGGGATTAAATAAATATTTTTAAAAAGAAAAGAAAACCTCTAATGAGTCCTTTGCTACTTAGGTTTATGATGTTTTGTTATAACTGAATTCTTTTAGGTTGTCAGGAAAGTCATGGCATATTTTTCTATGCAAAGATGCATCATGACTTTCCTGACAACCCAATATTTGCGGTATATGACTCTTTGAAAGACATGAACATTTATAAAATAGATTAATAGAAACTGTGGAATAGGTCATTGCTCACAATCCTTAAATTTCTTTCTAGAAAAAACTTTTCTAGAAAAAGTACCTAAATCAAATATAATTTGGTGTACCAAAATAACTGTTGACTTACATTCTCTGTCTGTTCATTCAAAGGGAAATTTTGAGTGAGCATCTAAAAAAGACTTAGCTAGTAAGCATTATTCGAAGCCAGAATTTAGGATACGTGTATTTCTGACAGAGGAATAGGAAATCTTAAGAGAATTGTAGAAAAGTCTAATGAGGATCAATTGAATCTAAAATTTGACTTAAAAGGCAGGTTAAACAAGACAAAAATAAATAATTACATGAGATGGTGACTGTCTTAATCATTTCATGATCTATACATATATCAAAACATAATCTATGCCATTAATATATTTCCACATTTTATTTTTTAATTAAAAAGTAAAATTTCAAAGCAGGTTAAAATCGATACCAATAGCTAAAGAAGTCCTGCTTTGAAATCACTAATAAATATCAGTGAAGTACCTATTGTTCATATGGCACGTGGTGCCAGGCATGTAGGCCAAATCATAGAAGTTAGAGTGAATTAAGGCCACATTTTTGATGTTGAAAAAAAAAATCAATGTGATATGATTAACATTTTCAAATTTATGATCAGGGTTGAGCGCGGTGCCTGGAATAATATCAGTGGTGACAACACTTAAAAATGGGGCTTCAGGTGGGGGCAGCTGGTTGCGTGGTGGCTAAGGTGTTGGACTCCCATGTGGCCGACCACAGTCTGAGTCTCAGACCAGGTGACTTGAAAATCATGCCAGGTGAATGTGTATGCGTGCCCCTAATCCCAGGAGGAGGATGGAGGAGAAGAGATTGCATCATGGCCATCCCCTCACTTTCTCACTTCCCCTCTCACTGTCTTTCTCTGCCTCTCCCTGGGGAGAACACACTATGGCAAAAACCTTAAAAAAAAAAAAAAGAAGAAGAAGAAGAAGAAGAAAAGAAAGAAAGAAAGAAGAAAGAAAGGAAGAAAGAAAGAAAGAAAGAAAAAGAGAGAGAGAGAGAGAGAGAGAAAGAAAGAAAGAAAGAAAGAAAGAAAGAAAGAAAGAAAGAAAGAAAAAGAAAGAGAGAAAGAGAGAGAGAGAGAGAAACAAAGATGGGGCTTCAGACCTGAATTTTCTAATGGTGAGAATTATTTGATAGAAAAAAAATAGGTTCTTGGGCCAGCAGGTGGCATGGTGATTAGGGTGCGAGATTCCCACATGATGGATGGTGATTTGAGATCTGAACCTGGTGACTTAAAAATTACAACAAGTAAATAGAAAAAGAAAGAAAGAAAAGCAAAAGCAGGTTCTTAGGCCAGCCTGTGGCACGGTTGTTAAGGCGGCTGGATTCCATGTTTCAAGCCCAGACCTGGGGACTTGAGAAACAGGCTGGGTATGCATGGCAGTGTGCCCAAAATCCTGAATGAAGGAAGAAATAGGGAAGGGATTGTAATGTGGCTGTGCCTCATGGGAGGCGCTTTCTCTCTCTCTCTCTCTTTCTCTTTCTCTCTCTCTCTCTTTCTCCCCCTATCAAGAGCATTCGAAAATCAAAATCAATTATGCATATATATGTATATGTGTGTTTAATTTCTTTATAGGACTATGCTGACCTAAATTGCTTTAGCAACCACTAGAACATTATACAGGATTTGATAGTATTTTCCTCTGAGGACTATCTGTTTATATACATTATCTGTGCTCGAAGTGGGATGAAAACACATTTCAGATTTTACAGGAAATTAAAAACACAATTTTTATCTCCCCCTTTTTGTGGCTTTACTTCTCTTCCTTATCATTTAAAGGTTATCTGGTGCTTGTAGCTTCTGTAACAAACGTGATCTGTAACTTGTAGCATATAAGGTTATAAACAAGCCTGTTTGCTTAGAAGAGGAAAGTTAAGCCACCTGCTTTGGACAATGGTCACAAGAATGCAAACGGACCTAGGTGAGAAATCCTAAGAGATGTAACGGAGGGGGGGGGGGAATGGAGGCGCTTTCTCTCTCTCTCTCTCTTTCTCTTTCTCTCTCTCTCTCTTTCTCCCCCTATCAAGAGCATTCGAAAATCAAAATCAAATATGCATATATATGTATATGTGTGTTTAATTTCTTTATAGGACTATGCTGACCTAAATTGCTTTAGCAACCACTAGAACATTATACAGGATTTGATAGTATTTTCCTCTGAGGACTATCTGTTTATATACATTATCTGTGCTCGAAGTGGGATGAAAACACATTTCAGATTTTACAGGAAATTAAAAACACAATTTTTATCTCCCCCTTTTTGTGGCTTTACTTCTCTTCCTTATCATTTAAAGGTTATCTGGTGCTTGTAGCTTCTGTAACAAACGTGATCTGTAACTTGTAGCATATAAGGTTATAAACAAGCCTGTTTGCTTAGAAGAGGAAAGTTAAGCCACCTGCTTTGGACAATGGTCACAAGAATGCAAACGGACCTAGGTGAGAAATCCTAAGAGATGTAACGGAGGGGGGGGAATGCAAAAACTAATAACTCGCAATTGTTTGAATTGTTTTGTTAAGCAGCATAGCTTAAAGCAAGCAAGTTGTAGCTTCCCTTATCAAGTATGTCATGAGGCTAAGTTAAGGGCGCAGTAAGAACAAAAACAAGCTCAAAAATGTCACGTGAAAGGAAAAAGGTGCACTGAACAATTAGGGGAAATCATGAGGGTAAGAACGAAACTGAACTAACAAGATTGATGTTCTAGATATCACAGACAAGCAAGAAGCCTAACGGTGGATACGTGCTGGAAAATAATGTCCTGGGAGGAGGTTGTGAGCCCGTTAGGTCTCGGCCACTTCCGGTGTTGGAACACAGCTAATTAAACTCCTTTCTCCCTCCCCTTCTCTTCTCGATTATTCACCGATTCACGGGAAAGGCTGCCGGGTTCCGTCTGGCACCAGTAGAGGAACACATTTTGGACAGAATGCCACGGAATCGCACTCCTGCACCTGACCTGTCGTTTCTGCAGATATTTCATGAGAATAAGTATCGATGATTTTCAGTGGCAATAAAACTTGCTTTAATCTTTGACCTGGACACCGTAAACAGGAGCCCAGTAGGTAAAGACCTGGGTGTGCCCCACGGCGCAGGTCGTCGGTAGGGCACGCCCCTCCCTCCGCCTCGGCCAATCGGGAGCGAGGAGTCGCCCGGAGACACTGGAGGTGGGCTCGGAAAGGGGTGCCTGGGCGCAGAAATCGGTGTGTCCCAGAACTTGGCGATTTCCTGGGTGGGTCGTGCTCGTGAGTAGGGAGAAAAGGCTGGCTGGGGCTTCTTCCTCTGGGGTCAGTAAATAGAGGCAGAGATGGGGACAGGAGGGAAGAGGTGCGTGGACGAAGTGCCGGCGTCTGTCCAAGGATGCCCTTCTTCCAGGGTGGGGAGCGCAGGGTGTGGTCTGGGGTAGCAGGAAGCACGGTTGTGGTGGGAAGCCACTCTTGGCATGGCTGCCCCACAACATTGTGCACAGACTCTGATTTGCGTTTTCCTAAAAGGACGTGGAGAGGGTGGATGTGCACGCGTATTTCTGTACACAGAATGTTTCTGGAAGCATGGACACACCCTGTCACACTAGTCGCCGTTGAGGGACTCGGTGGAAATGACACTAGCATGAAGATGTTTGTTTGCCGCTTCTGTGCGAAGAGGAAATTTTAGGAGCCTCCAATGACATCGTTTGCTGACGTCAGGGACTCACACGCCACTAGGGATATTACACCAACTAGTCCTCACTCGCTGGTACTGTGACACAGCCGGGTGAGGGCAGACGAACAGTGCCTTAACTTGCCAAGTGGAGCAAAGGGCACCAGCTCATAGGCGTGTGATGAGGATGAAATGCACCGTGTAAGGGGAGGG